CGTGGGCGGGGACTGGGGAGGGGCCGGCTCACCACAGGCCGGGTGCCACCGGGAGGCGGGACTGTCCCCTCCCCGGCCTCAGCGTAGCGCTGTGGTTCTGAATGGAGAAGAAATGGGTTTGTACTCACCTTCTTTTCTTGTCCCAGGTTGGCCTCTTCCCAGAACTCGGTGTCTGCCTCTGTGCATCACGGTTCTGACGGGTGGGCGCGAGGTGACCGCAGGGCACAGGGGACGATTCTGCCCCCAGGGAAGGTCGGCCTTGTCCCCGGGGCCCAGGGGCCTGTGTTCATTATTTGGGAAGAGCTCCTTAGCTTCCTGCCCACAGCAAGCACCAGAGTGGCATCTGCGGGCCGCGTGTGGACCAGGGGACACTCGGTGTTGGGTGGAGGTGGGGTCAGGGGTCTCAAGAACACCAGGGACGTGGACCAAGCCGCTGGCCTGCTGCCCTTTAACCCCGGGTCCTAACGGGGCTCCAGGTTGGGCCTGTGACCACCCTGGGCTCTGGTGCCACCCCCTTGCCCCCCCTCGCCTACACCCCAGCCGGGGGAGTGTCACCTGTCACCGGGCCCCCCTGCTCCCCCTCAGTCAGCGCTCCTGGGTGACATATTTAGACGGTTGCTGTGGTGACAGCGAAGGCTGCGGCTGGCAGCCCCCGGGAGGCGAGGTGCCTCTGCTTCGGGCTGGGTGCCAGCGGGGGCTCTGGGCCCGAGCTGCCCGGCCACCCCGTGATGCCCCGAGGAGCCGCAGTGGGCAGGGCTGGCCTGTGGCCAGTGCTGGGTCCCCCTGTCCCTGCCCTCGGGCACCCTCAGAGCAGGGTCTCGCCCTGAGCAGATTCTGCTTCAGGGAGCCTTGGCCACGTCTGGGGACATTGGTGGCTGTCACGACTGGGGAGTCCTGGCAGAGTGGGGGGAGTTGGGGACGCAGCTTGACACCCTGCGGGGCCCAGGTGGTCACAGAGAACCTTCCAGCCTCTGTGCTGGGCTGKGAGACCGTCCCTCCTCTTGGTCCAGCCGCTCTCGCGATCGTCACCATGGACAGAGCCAGGTCTCAGCGGATCGTCATCCGTGGGCGGAGGGAGGCGGGACCTGGCAGACCCCCGAGCTGCTGGCTCCGCTGCTCAGGAAGGTGGCTGGGGAGTGGACACCTGGGTGCCTGCGGGTCCCCAGCAGCCAGCGCGCACAGTGGGCCTTCCACCTGGTGTCCCCAGGCGGGGACTTGGAGACAGCCTCCTGGGCACTTTCTGGGGCAACTCTCGGAGCCAGAGCCCAGGTGGGCTGGGGCTGCCGTGGCCAGGTCCTGCTGTCCCCTGGCCCTGGCTCAGCCCTTCATGGGGACCTTGGTGACGCCTGGGGATAGGTGGCTGTCATGACTGGGAGGGGGTGGAGCCCAGGGACGCTGCTCAGCCCCTGCAGGACCAGGACTGTCCCGTGTCCCTGGCTCATGGGCTGCTGCTGTTTTGAAAGGCTGCTCTGGACAGAGGACGGCTCTGGACAGAGGACGGCCCTGCCAGGAGGGGAGGAGGGTGTGCCAGAGATGGCCGTGCCCAGTCTGAGCGTCTCTCTGTCCCTCTCCTTGCCGTCTGCCCTGGGGCCACCATCTCTGTCCCTGTCCCCAGCCAGAGCCAGTCCCTTCCTGCTGGGGAGGGTCTGGGGCTCACAGTGCCAGCTCTGTCCTCTGAGCTGCCACTTTGCCCTTGAGGAGGGCTGCCAAGGTCAACCGAGGCAGAGGGGCCTGGGACATCGCTGGCCCTCCAGGGTCCCTCGCTCTTCAGGCTGTCCCTGTGCCACACAGTGGGCAAGGTCCCCTTGGTATTGCCCTGGCATGTGGCCCCGTGTGTGAGCCGAAGGCCTCAAAGCTGGCCAGTCCCTGCCTCTGGTGGGGGGTTTGGCTTCAAAACAGGAAGCCCGTGGGCACGGGGCACCAGATGCCCTGGCAGAGGGCCTGCTGGGTGCCGCCTGAGAGCCGTGTGCTCTGAGCCTGGGATCTGGGACCTCTGCCGCGTGTGGGGGGAGCGCCTGGGAGGGAGGGCGGGCGCCGACTCGCAGGGTCCTGCCCGTGGGCTCCGGCTCCCCCCCCCCCCCCCCCCCGGCACCGGCTGCATATTGGTCGTCCCCAGCACCGGCTGCATATTGGTCGTCCCCGGCACCGGCTGCGTATCGGGTCCCGCTCGCTGTGCTCCTGCCTGGCTGTCCTCCCCTCACGTCCTCAGCACCGGGTCCTCTGGGTGAGGTCCTGATCTAAAAAGAAGAAAGAAAACGCAGCCCACAGACCAGACGGATTGTCAGCAGCACTTCCCGGGACACAGTGGGCGGCAGGGGAGCACTGGGGTGTCCCCTGACGTCTGTTTCCTCAGAGTGACAGCTTGTCCCCTCGGGTCATGGGGCCGGTTCGACCTGGCCTTCCTGCCCCGTGGCACCCGGCCCTGCTCTGGGTCCAACCCGGTTCACACCCGCTGTCCAGCAGGGCCCCGCCGTCCATCCTGCTCTGACTCTAGAGGTCCCTGACATGGATGCAGCGTTTCTGTCTGACTTGGGGGTGGGTGAGGGTCGACGGGACAGCCGGGCGCCAGCTGCTGCCCCACTGTCCCTCTCTCTGCCCGTCCCTCTCTCCGCCCGTCCCTCTCTCTGCCCGTCTGTCCCTCCGCCTGTCCGTCCCTCCACCCGTCCGTCCCTCCGCCCGTCCCTCTCTCCGCCCGTCCGTCTGCTCTGGGGCTGAGTGCAGACCCGGGGCCTGCAGCAGCTGCCTGGTGGCTCAGGGCAAGGACAGCCTTGAGCTGCTGCCAGGGCTCAGGGACAGGTCACTGGGCAGGAGGGGAGGACAGGCGGTTGAGGAGCGTCCTCTACATGTTCATGAGACAGACGCTCCCAGCGGTCAGAGGCAGAGGCTACCCAGGTTCCCGTCAGGGGACACACAGCATGTTCTGTCCACTGGGAGAGTCCTCCAGGCAGCAGTGAGGTGACAGCTGAGTGTGGACGCCTGAGGACCTCATGGTCAGTGAGAGCCAGACACAGAATGTGACCCAGCCACAGGGGGTTCAGAGTGGACCTGCGGGACAGGGCTGGGAGGGGCCGCTCGTGGGACGGGCTTCTTGGGGTGGCGGAATGTTCTGGGCCGTGCAGGTCTGACTGCGCCCAGCAGTGCACTGCCCTTCCAGCGTCCAGACTGACCCTCCCTCTCTGACTGGCGCCTGTGTCACCCTGTTTCCTGGCGTGCGTGGACAGTGTCCCTGGTGTGTGAAGTGTCCCTGGTGGATGAGAGGTGCACGATCCCTCCCGCACTGTCCGCCAGTCCCCCCCACCAGTCTGCATGGGTGGGGCCCGCGAGGCAGAGGCCTGGCATCCCGGCCCCTTCGCCACTGACCCTGCTGACTGCAGCCCCTCCGCCGGCCCTGGTGTGGACGGGGTCCTGCAGGGTCCGGCCACCAGCTTCCCAGGGCCCCCGGCGTTCCTGTGGCACGGGCGCCACCTGCAGGCAGCGTGGGGGCTGCGCGCTCCTGGCCTTGGGTGCCGAGGAGCCCACATCCTCAAAGCTATGAGGAGTTTTAAAATCGGCCGTTACCTGGCCGTGGTGGCCACCTGTGATCCYAGAGGCTCCCGAGGCTGCGGCAGGAGGATCAAAAGTTCAAGGCCAGCCTCTGCAACATAGCAAATGAAAATGAAAAGGGTCTGCTCAGGGGGGGAGCCCTGGCCCCCCTCCCGGGCACAAGAGTGACTTTGAGTTTCAGAATTGCAGACGCGCCTCGGAGAGCACTGGGGCTTCCGTCCCCCTCAGAACTCGGCAGTCCCTCCCCGCCGGCACCTTACCCAACCTCAGGGGATCTGTGACAACCAGAACCCCTTGGGGACACGTTCCCATCGCTGGACTCCACTGTCCTCGGATCCCGTTCTCCCCGTATCCCTCCCCCACCCAGCATGGCACCTGGGGCCGCCGCTCCTCGGCTGTGCACCCCGGGTCTCCCTACGTTTTGTGACCCGACAGTCTGACCAGGTCCTGCCCCCTCTGGCCTGGGTGGGCCTGAGGTTTCCCAGAAAGACCAGGGCTCTGGGAAAGTACCCAGGAACGAGGAGCCTTTCTCACGTGTCAGATTCCGTGGGGCCAGCACTAAGTGGGCCCCAGCTGTATACTGGGGTTCCTAGGCCGCCCCCGGCCTGGCGCCTGCTGGGGTCCCCAGGTCTCAGCTCGGGCCGTTCTCCCAGCTGCGGTTCTTACAGTGACAGGACCCAGAGCAGTCAGAGGTGGGAACCGCATGTGGGGGCACTTGGGGACCAGGCAGGGCCTCCAGAGTCTCCTCCCAGGGAGTCCCAAGGGTGCACTTGGTCCCCACAACACACCTGTGGAAAGTCACTGGGAGCTCACAGAGACCCGGCACCTGGGGTCCGTGGGGGACACGCGGCCCTCTGCCTGGCGCCCAGGGGCTGAGCGGAAGCCACACTGTTGGCCCCACGGCTCAGGCCCAGGAGCCCCTCCTGTCACGGGGGGGTGGGGGGTGGGGGGGGTGGAGGCCCTAGGGCCAGGTCCCTAGACGCCCGGCCAGCCTCGTAGCCCCGCCTCAGGCTGCTCAGAGACCTGCTGGTCCCCACCTGCTCCTGGGGACCGAGGCTTGCTTCCCTGGACTCTGGACTTTTCGTGGTGACTTGGGGAAGGGCAGGGCAGCCTGATGAGCYGGTCACCTGGGGACCCCGAGGCTCCTGCGGTGGACAGCACATTTGCAAACAAGGAAGGCCGTGCAGGGGTCCACCCTGGCCGGGAGTCCTCTTCTCAGACGAGGAGACTTTGTCAGCGACACCCTGGGGGAGGGGAACCACGCCCCCCGGGCCCGTGGCCCTGGGGTTGATCCTGCCCACAGGCCAAAGCCTCCCCCGGGTCCACAGAAGGGCCCTGAAGGCAGGAGTGGTGGGCCTCTGGCGTCCCCTGAGGGCGTGCCCCTCCGTGCCAACCCTGCGCCCACCTCCAGCACCTCCTACAGAGTGGTGCCGGCTCACGCTGTGTTTCTCTTGCAGGAAGCGAGCGCTGGTGACGGACGTGGTGGAGGGCGCTCCTGCACAGGTACGTGCTGCCACCTGCCCTGGGCTGCTCTTGAAGTCAGGCCGAGAGGGGAGTTGGGCGGCTGTCCAGGTGGCGTCCGCTGTGACCGGCTCTGTGTCGGGGGCTTCTTACCACAAAGACTGTGCATGGACAGTGGGGAACAGGGACTGTGCGGGGTTCCTCACCACGGGTCCTGCTGTGTGTGGAGCCATGGCACTGGTGGGGCTGGTCCTCAAGAGCTCTGGACAGCGTCAGGACAGGGAGCACACGGCTGTGCCGCCTGCCTTTTGGTCATCTGAACTCCACCTCAGCGAGTTTTAAGAGGGAGCTTTTGTCCTGAGTGACCCAACAGTAGTCATGGCCAAGGACAGAGCTGTCTTTGAATGGAAAGTGTATGAGAAACTCGTCTCAGTCTGTTTTCTGTTGCTATGACAAAGCACCCAGGGCTGGGTACTTTAAAATATAAGAAAGGTTCATTCCGGCTCACAGTTCTGGAGGCAGGATCCGGTGACTGTACCTTGTATTGTGTCCCAGCAGGACAGGTGATGTCATGTAGTGGGAGCTCGGGGGAGATGGGGAGTGTTGTGTGCAGAGGTGACGTGGCCAGAGCTGATGCAAGAGACCTGGGTAGGGCCGGGTCACTCTCTTATAGCAACCTGCCCTTTTGCGCTGGGCCAAACTGTCCATCTTGTGCAGCCCACCCTCCCCACCTGGGACCGTCACCTCCTGGTCCCCTCCCACTCAGCCCACCCCTTAAATCCCACGGCTTTCAACACTGACATCAAAGAGTCCCGCTGACCACTGTGACGGTCACGGGGTGAGGCTAGGCCCAGGTTCGGTGGTCACCAGGGTGGCTGCTGGCACAGGAGGGGCCCGGGGCCGAGCGCTGTGGGTGTCCCTTGTGTGAAACTGATGGAAAGGTCATGTCTGTGGGGACAGAAGGGTGGTGGGCAGTGGTGAGGCTGGGACTGTGGTCACTCCACATTCTGCCGCGGTGATGGAGGTGATGGAGGTGACAGTGGGGATGGAGGTGACAGAGGCCCTTCAGAGCCAGGTGGCACCTGTGGCCCCAGAGCCCCAGGAGGGCGTCCTGGGCCGTGCACCTGTGTGACGCCACGCGAGGCTGAGAATCTGTGCCTCAGCCCACGGACGTCTTCTGGTGGAGGAGGTGACCACGGTGGCCCCGGTGGAGCAGGCAGTGCTGGGCAGGGGAGGACATGGGCACGAGGGCGCGGCAGGGGTACAGCGTGGGGACCTCACGGTGCTGAACCCGCCCGGGAAAAGCCCCAAGAGACCCTCAGCCTCAGTCAGCAGGAGCAGGCGGAGGTGGGAAGGTGACATGGGACGGGGCGCGTGCCCGGTGGGGACAGACGCTCGCTGGGCGGCTGCCGGGGAGAGCACGCGGCGTGGCGGGCTGGCCCTGGCTCTGGGCCTGTGGAGGCCAGGGAGCCAGGAGCAGGCGGTGGTGGCCTCCACCTCCCGGAGCGCCACAGGCTGCCCACAAGATGCCCAYGTGTGGGGGACAGAGGCTCTGGCCCACAGGACTCCCCTCGGGGACCGTCAGGCCGCTCTCTGTCTTTTGTGTTGGGGCGTCTCTGTCCCCACCAAGCCCCAGGGACACAAGCCCGCCCTCCGCCCCGAGAGCCAGCCAGTGTCCCCAGCAGCTGTTGTCACCTCCCAGCTCACCACGGCCAACCCCCAGACGCAGAGGGCGTCCCCCGAGGGGCGGTGCCGAGCTGCCCAGGAGCCCAGGCAGCGGGCCTGTGCCGTCGCTAAGCAACCGCCCACAGCCGCCTCGCCAGCCGGCGACGCCCAGGACGGTCACGGTCACGGCGCACTCACGGAACCCCGGCCCCCTCTGACTCAAGGCACACGTGGGGGTGACTGTCACGCTTCCACCAGGGGCTGTGGGGACACGGGGGAGCCCAGTGCAGGCTGCAGGGGACTCACCTGGGTGGGCGTGGGGGTCCGMGTGGGGGAGCACACGGGTAGCAGATGGGTGGGCGCAGCCTGCAGCGGTGAGGTGCCATCTGCTCAGAAGCGGGGCGCAGCGGAGAGGGCCCTCGGGGCTGGAGAAGGCCAGCCGCGGGGACCCACGTGGCTGGGTGTGTCGGGACAGCTTACAAAAGTGTCCTGTGAGGGCGGGGTGGTGGCCGCGCCTGCCATCCCGCAGACCCACCCGGGAGGCCGAGGCCGGAGGACGGGAGTTCAATCCAGCCTCAGCAACTGAGGACACCCGGCCTCAAATAAAACAGGCGGCTGGGCTGGGCTCCGGGCAGGGCACTCCCTGGCACGTGGGGGGCGCGGGGTTCGGCCCCAGCACCACATCAGTAAAGAAGATCAGGGCATCTGTCCGTCGCAACCACAAAAAAAGTCAGAACCCTAAAAAGTAGAAAGGGCTGGGGCGTGGCTCCGGGTAGCTCTGTCCCCAGGACCGAGCGCAGCGGAAAGGCCAGTGAGGACGCAGCCTGGGTCACCTGTTGTTGTGACCGACGTGTCTCTGAGTGGCGCTGGTGAGCTCCGGACCAGGCTGTGGACCTACAGAGTCCAGCTCCGCCGCCTCCCTGCTCCCCGTCAGCGGGACCCAGTTCACACGGTGTCCCCTCCCCATCTCGAGCTCTCGGGTCCAGGAGCCCCGTGGTGCTTGGCCATCAGGTCCTCAGGCTCCTCTGGGCTGTGACAGCTCGGTCGTCCCCGGCCGCCTGGCCATCTGCGGGGCCTGGCCGGCGTCCTGCAGAAGGCTCTCCACGGGGGCCCGTCTGGTTTCAGGGTTGGACTGAGGTCACCAGACCCGGGGACAAATGTGCCCAAGAGGTGCCCCCTCCTGGCCCTGCCAGGGTGCTGAGACCCACAGGACGTCGCCGTGACACCGATCTGGACCTCCTGCTGGAGGAGGGGTCRCCAGGGCCAGCCTGGCCTGTCCTGCCCTTTGGGCGCCAGTCCCTCCCTGAGTTCCACTGGCACTTGGGAGAGGGGAACCAAGCCCCGCCTCGTGGGCAGACAGTGACGTTCTCCACAGAGCTGGCCCCTCCCGGGTGGGCCACAGGGGTGGGCGGCCCTGGCACCAGGCGGCTGGTGCCCACTGCTGAGCCTGGTTTTGAGAACAAGTTTCTAGAGCAAAGGAGAGCCCAGGGCTCCCGACCCAGAGGCTGGATGCTGTTGGGGAACAGGGACTCTCAAGAGGGCACTCGGCCACGTCACCTGGTCGGGGCCAGCGTTGCAGTCCACCTGTTGATCTGGAGTGGTCACTCCCAAGGTCTTGGTGCCTGCGTCTGAACTCCTGGGCTGCCGTGGTGGGTGTGTGCTCGGGGCTGGGGCCGCCCAGGGCGGGAAGCTGCCCTCCTCCCCCGCCGCCCACCCCCTCCGGAGGCCTCCTAAGGCGCCTGGTTGTGATGGAGCCTCCCGGAGCCCCCAGGGACCTGGTGACCTCTCTGACCCCTGGCTTGAGCTGCTCTGGAGGAGGCCCCCGGGTGGCCCCGGGTCGCCCTGCCAGGCTGGAGGGAAGCAGACAGGCAGGGTGCCAGCTGTCTTCAGGGGGCCCCCTGGCAGAGTCCCAGAGGGACCCCTGGGGGCCAGGAGCCACCTCCAGCCAGTGGCCAGCAAGAAGCCAGACCTCCTCCCACAGTGTCCAGGAAGCGGATCCGGCGACAGCCAGGAAGCTTGGCAGGGGATCCCAAGTTCCCGATGTCACCCAGCCCCTCGGGGCCTGTTGTGGCCGATGAGACTCGGAGCAGAGGACCCAGCTGAGCTGAGCAAGCGCCTACTCAGGACTCGGGGGAGCCGCCAGAGCCCACCTGGGCACCACGTGGCCTGCCCGGCGAGCGGCAGTTTGTTACGCGGCACGGCTGACGGAGGCACCGTCCCTGTGGAGACGAGATGCCGTCTGCCTTTCACGTCTCCACTCCCGGGAGGAGAATCCTAGCAGCAGGAGCCTAGGCATGTCCCAGGGCCACGGGCAGCTGCTGGCCATGCCATTTGAATCAGCCTGGGCACCGTCCGGGCTGGACTGTAGCACCTAAGGTCAGGGAGCTGGGCCAAGCCCAGCCGGTGGCTCAGGGCTGAGGGAGAGGAGGGAGAGAGAAGAGCCTGGGTCGGCCCCGCCTGACCCGCCCTGCAGGGAGCCACCCGGGACAGGACCGGCCAGTCAGCCACCCAGGGGTGGGGGTGAGGAAGCCACCGGGCAGAGGACGCCCTCGATCTCCAGGGCAGTGGGGCCACAGGGATCCCGACCCGCTGCGACACGAGCCTAGCGGGAATCTCGCCTCCTTGTGTCAAGTCAGGGAGCCGAGGCGCAGGGAGACCCCAGGCCCCAGACGTGGGGGCAGGGGTCCCAGAAGCTTGGTGTAGGTGGCTCCGGGTGGGTGGCTCTGGGGCCAGACCTGGGAGCCAGCCTCAGGTGCACCCACCATCACCGTCTCTCTCTGGTAAAGCCGGGGTGATGACAGCCCCCGCCACGCTGGGCCGAGGCGAAGAGTAAATCACAGAAAAAGGAGCGCAGTGGACACACCCCTAACTCCAGGGACTGAGGCCGAGGCAGGAGAAGGCCAAGTTCAAGGTCGGCCTCAACAACTTGGCGAGGCCCTAAGCACCTTGCTGAGAATCTGCCTCAGATGAAAGTAGAAGAATAAAAAGGGCAGGCGCAGCTCAGGGCTGTCGCCCGGCTCAGTGCCCAGCACCGAAACAAAGAACAGGTGCACGGGGGTCTGTCTGGAGCCCCAGCCCCGGCCTGGCCACAGGAGGCTCCGTGGAAATGGGGGCCTGGCGCACCCCACCTCCCGAGGCAGCCTGCCCACCAGGACCCGCCCCCTGCACCCCCTCCCAAGGGCACTGCCCCTGGCTTCCTGGTAACCATGGAGACTTGGGGAGCCCGAGCCCTGTGGTGGGCACAGCCTGGTCCCCAATCCCCATCCAGCGTCCTGTCCTGGAGCGAGGCGAGAGAAGGGGGTGAACACACCCAGGCAGCCCAACAACAGGACCCCGGCTGGGGCCCCCACTCTTGCCCCCGGGGGGTGCCAGCCCTG